ATTTGAGTATATAAAAAACAAATATTTTTTTTAAATTAATATTTTATTTATCATTTAAGAGATAATGATCACATCATTAAATGATATTACTGATGGCTAGATAATAAATTAAAATACATTAATTATTTTTTAAAATTTTGGCATGTTATTTATTTGTATATCTATACTTATTATATAAGGTATCCTATCTACCAAATTTAGTAGATTGAAAAGTCAACGTAATTAATACATTGCTATTTCTCTCCAGAATTTTATTTAATTATTTTATTTATTTATCTTATATCCCATAAAATCAGTTTAAGAAAAAAAAATCCCATAACATCTTACAAGTAAAAAAAAAAGACGTAAAATATTTACTAAAATAAAAAAACTTTATTTATTTGTCTTATTCCATATTAGCATCGATTTTGTCAAAACAAATCCCATAAAATCAGTGAAGTCAAAATTTGTACGTAAAATCTATCTATACTTAAAAAAAAGGCAGATTCAAAATTCTTTATCTAATTCATTCTTTTACTTATCTAATTCCTTCTTTTCCTTATCCAATTCTTTTTTATTATCTAATTGTATGAAAATCTGTTCTGATTTTGTTCAATTATCTAATTGTATTTGTATTATATGGTTTAACAAAAAAATAATCCCATAACATCCGATAAGTAAAAAAACAAAGTACGTAAAATATTTACTAAAATAAAAAAGACTTTATTTATTATCTAATTTATTATCTAATTGTATGAAAATCTGTTCTGATTTTATGGTACGTACTACAAATTGTACACCCGTGTTCAGGAGCTACTTAACGGGCAAGCTCTGTAGAAATGACTCATTTAGTGCTTCTGTCCCGTGCATACGGTATGTATTTTTATTACATACTAAAAAATTGTGCACCCTGTGCATCGCACGGGCTCTGTACTAATAAATGACCTTAAAATTGTGCACCCCGTGCATCACCCATGCTCACATTTTGGCCTATTACAGGTCACGTACTATATATATCCCGTACAATTTTTTTAATTCATTTATATAATTATAAAATTCGATAAATGATCCTAAAATTGTACACCCCGTGCATCGCACGGGCTCTGTACTAGTATATATATAATAAGAAGAAGATAAAATTAAAATGTAAGAGGTAAAAAAATAGTTGGTGCAGAGAACATTTCCAACAACCCCAGGTCATTATGGTCATTCATCCCAACTGATGCCCTCCTTTAAATGCGACCACAGGCAGGCATCTTAACCAATCTCCCCTTCATCTCCTTTACTGCACTGCACGTTAGTTATTTTCCCACAAACACGCACGCTGGGAATGGATCCAGTTTCCGAGTGGGGCAACAGCCCTCTCTCCGCCGTGGATCCCGAGATCTACGACCTCATTGAGAAGGAGAAGCGCCGCCAGTGCCACGGGATCG